GGCGGTGCAGATAAACTTCCCGTGCTCTCCTCTTGGTGACGTGCTAAGCAAGAAGTCTAACCGGCCTTGGTCTGTCTTGGACTTGGTGGATTCACAATGAGGTTAGGCTCCTCAACCGGGGTTGGGCTTTAATACATAAATTGGACTATTTGGGCTTAACCCATCAGTATCAATAACCATGTATGTTTGATGGTATCAAAGATGTAAACCTTACTGCTATACTTGCATTTCTTACTCATATCTCAAAAAGAATTAGAAAATATAAAAATTCAAGCTCAGCCACTCAAAAAAAGAGAATGTGGAGGAAGAAGAGGAAGATATTTCTTGTGTGTTGCTCCTCTCAATTTCCATAGTCAGCCAAAGGGCCACGTTATCTCCCATGAACCACCAGGCAATTCCAGTGGCAGCCATTCTTTTTCAAGTTAACACGTAGCAGTATTCTACAGGTCTACACCCCCCTCCCCTCCCCCCGCCACCCCAAAAAAAAAAAAAAACAAAAAACACACACAGACATACAACACCACCTACATATAATGTGCAGAAGGTCCTCCTGCTTTTAGAGTGAAGGAAGCAAACATGGGACTGAGGGCACTTCCCTTGTCACCTACACAAAATGGTTTCCTTCCAAATGCAGGAATTGCTCAAAACTTGTCACCATATAATTTCCACAGAACCTCCAGATTAAGGGTAGTTTCAGCTCAGTCAGAGAAGGGTAAGGAAGAACCCAAGAAGGCGGAGAAACAATCTCTCTTTGGAAGTTTGACAGAAGCTCTGGATTTTTCTCAGGTTAGATCAGAAGAGGATGCCCAGCTTCTGAGTGAAGCCAGGGAAGCAACAAAGTCAGGAGGCCAGATGAACAGGGAGCAGGTAAACTACATATATATGTATATATATATACATACGCATATATGTGTGTGTGTGTTTTTCAATGCAAATCTGAATACTGAATGAGACTCTGTATTCAACCAGTTACTAACACCTCTCATGTATTGCAGTATGGAGCTCTTAGAAGGAAAATTGGCGGGACTTACAAAGATTTCTTCAAATCCTATGTTGAAGGTAATTGTACTCATTATGAACTGCTTTTTGTAGCAAAACATGTTCTAAACCGTGAATTGAAGTTTGAATTGGGATGCATTGTGAGAGGGTCAACCAAATCCAAACTAAGCCCAACTCGAAAATAATTCATAGTGGGGTAGGGATTTATGTTGCGGCAATATTGTTTGGCGTGGGCAAAGAAAATCCCAACTAAAATTTGGGCTATAAAAATATTGGAGTCTCAGTTTTTCAGCAACTTATCCGAATTGAACTCGAATATCAATTCAAATATCCTACACTCAAACCCAAATTGAACTCAAAATTCAATTGGATAATCATGCCCAAATTTCAAACCAAGTTGGGTAATCATGCCCAAATTTCAAACCAAGTTGGTTTACTTGAGTTTAACCTCTTGGGCAGGTTTAAGCCAATTTGAAGTCTAAAATAGAAATATTAAATTGAGGTTTTTTAATTTTTAGTATAGTTTTTTAAAAAAATTAATTTATTTTTAATTTTTTATGTGAGAGAGACAAAAAAAAAATGTGTTACTATTGTCAAAAAAGAGATTTTAACTTTTGTTTTTATTTTTTTTACCGGAGAGAGAGAGAGAGAGAGAGAGAGAGAGGTGGGTTGTTGGGTTGTTGGGTGGGAGGGACTAAATATGAGTTGGTTTTTAAGTATATTTTTTATTTTTTTAATTTCAAGTTTTTAATGTTATGGATTATAGTATATGTCTAAATTATTGCAATAAAAATTTTGATTGGATTTAATTTTTTGGGGTTTTTTTCTAGGGTTTAAAATTAAATAGATTTAATTTTTTTTTATGGGCTAGTGATATATCTAAAATTATGGGGTCTTCTAAAAATTTGGAGCCTAAAGTTCATGTTTTTTGTTTTCATGCTGTTGGGCCAGCCTTGCCTCAATATAGAAAATTAGAACAAAATCTTAAAACGTAATTCGAATCTTGACATTTTCTTATGAATATTATAGTTTTCGTGTGGATAATCGATTTTTAATTAAATTAAGAAAAAGATTAGTCGAGATTCACATAAATTGACCCGACACCCAAAATCGTTGAACCGAAACCAAAAAACTATAACCTAGTTATTGTGTCTATTTGGTATAATCCTTGTAACTTTCCTAAGCTCAGAATATTGTTCTTTCGTTTTCCATGAAATCAGTGGATGGACAATACGTGGAAGAAGGTTGGGTTGACAAAACCTGCAAAGTGTGCAAGAAAGATACCAAAGGTGAACCTAGGCAGGTAGACAAGCTAGGAAGATACGTCCACGTGGCATGCTTGGAGAAGTCCAATTCTGGAAACTTTTTTACCAGACTATTCTCAATGTAAAAGGAAGTGTGATTGAATGGGTTTTGATTTTCTTTCTCTTTCTTTCTTTTTTCTTTTCTATTCCTGTAACTTTATATATGGCAGAGGAGATGGGGAAGGATGATCTTGAGTGGTGCATAATGTGGATATAATATTTGTTGTATATTTTAACTGATGTTTTTGTAATTTTAGACTTTGCTCATTCTGAATTTTTAGGAGTTGAGTTACGATATTGGGTAAAACAAAAGGAATTAAAGGAGGGATCGTACCAGAAATTATAAAATTTTTGTGGGTCAAATTATAATTTTTTTGGCCAAATTAAAACCGAAACAAGTTATGATATTAGAATTGATATCACACAATCTCAATTTAACGTAGTATATTATAGTGAGTTGTATCTTCACTCTTTATTTAATGATATGTAACTTTGATGATTTTCTACTATTTTTTATATGTTATAATTTTTTTAAACAAGATTTTATAATGTTGTTCAAAGGCATATGCCCCTTTTTTTTTTTTAAAAAAAAAAAATACCTTTTGAACTTCAAGTTGTCCCCATTTGACCTTTCAATCATGTTTTTTTTTTCAATTATTTCTTTCGTTAAGATTAATAGATAAATTGTTAAGATTAATAAACAGATTCTGTTAAAATTAATTGTTAATTTATCTTTTTGATGATTAATCTTAACAAAAGGGATTGATTGAAATAAATTACATAATTTGGGAATAAATTATAATATTAAAAGTTCAGAGAGTAATTTAAAATAAAGACCATAGTTCAAGAGGTGTTTTTGAGACTAACCCTAAATAGTAAAAATTAGTGTCCACAAAAATAAAAAATAATGCAAATTTGTATTTTTACAAGTTGAGTTGCTTGTACTATACAAGTGGAAAGTATTAAGTCCATGTATTTTATCTCACATTACTTAGGGAACACATGTGTGAAACTATTTTTACTAAATAATTAGAAAGTTAAATACTCAACTAATAAAAATTAAAATATATTTTATTATTATATTTATTTTTAAAATACAATAAATGGCTTGATCACTATCGACGAAAAGATAATAATATTAAATTAAAAATTAAAGGCTTTTTCTTACCATTGCATTTTATGGTTAGTCCTCATTACTACCCATTTTTCCTCCCACAAACTATCCTTTATTTCATTGTTTATGTAAAGAAATTTTTTTGCAACTCAAAAAATGTCAATCTTTTTTTTATCTAACTTTTCAAGTTTAAAAAATGAAAGAAGGAAAGGATGAAAAAGAAAAATATGAAAGAAGATAATGAGTTTAAATATGTGGACTGCATGGGTGGGGCGAGTAGTCATGTATCATTTTTGTTATTTAATTTTGAATCTTGATAATTTTTGGAATAAATTTATGAGGAATTTATTCTCATAGGTCATGAATACGTTAGTTCCAATGTGAATAATTTGACTGAAAAAAAAATTAGTTAAAATACACATAAATTAATTTAGATATCTCTAACTATTAAAATAAAAAAAAAGNCACATGTCATGAATACTTTAGTTCCAATGTGAATAATTTGACTGAAAAAAAAATTAGTTAAAATACACATAAATNTAGGTCATGAATACGTTAGTTCCAATGTGAATAATTTGACTGAAAAAAAAATTAGTTAAAATACACATAAATTAATTTAGATATCTCTAACTATTAAAATAAAAAAAAAAAGATTAAAATGTTGGGGTAAAGCAATCTCATAACCCAAATTCCATATAAGTTAAAAATATCATAGCCAAGATTGGCGGGAAAATACCCGACCCGTTACTCTTGGCGGGAAAATATACATACTTAGCAGTTATCGCGGGTAGCTGCCTAGAATTCTTCAGTTCGACCCCCAGAGAGAGAGAGAGAGAGAGAAAAAAAAAATTTCAACCACACCTCATGTAATTTATTATATTTTTAAAGACACCTTCNGGTTATCGCGGGTAGCTGCCTAGAATTCTTCAGTTCGACCCCCACCAGAGAAAGAGAGAGAAAAAAAAAAATTTCAACCACACCTCATGTAATTTATTATATTTTTAAAGACACCTTCTCTAATTTTTGAATTTTCAATAACATCCTTGTCAAATTAAAAATATTAAGTAGAATATAATTTTATTAAATTGTCCACGATATATTTGAGGACAAATTTCATCTAAATCCCCTCTAAATAAACATATTTTTAATGAGACTCCCTCTAAATAAATATATTTTCAATGAGACCCCCTCTGTTTTTTAATTTTTTTTACGTAATTAAATTCAANGTCCACGATATATTTGAGGACAAATTTCATCTACATCCCTTCTAAATAAACATATTTTTAATGAGACTCCCTCTAAATAAGTATATTTTCAATGAGACCCCCTCTGTTTTTTAATTTTTTTTACGTAATTAAATTCAAATCGCTTAAAATTCGATTTAAGCTAATTAAAATTTATTTTTTTACATATTAAAATTTGTGCCAATTAAAATTATATTTTTTTATGTATTAGAATTTGGACTAATTAAAATTTTGTTTGAGCCAATTAAGAATTATTTTTAATCGACTCAAATCAAATTTTAATTAATTCGTATTGAATTTTAATCAGTCTAAATTTTAATATATAAAAATATATGAATTTTAATTGACTTAAATTTTAATAAATCTAATTTTAATTGACACAAATTTTAATAAAAAAAAAATATAAATTATAATCGACTCAAAAGAGAATTTTAATCGGCTCTAACAACTTGGATAGAGTTCAAATCGGTTCAAATTTTAATATGTTAAAAAAAAATTTTAATAGGCTCGATTTGTTTTTTAAAATTTCCTAATTAGTAAATAATTATCAAAAATGCCACAACATAACCTCAAGTAATTTTTTTNCGAAAGAGAATTTTAATCGGCCCTAACAACTTGGATAGAGTTCAAATCGGTTCAAATTTTAATATGTTAAATTTTTTTTTTAATAGGCTCGATTTGTTTTTTAAAATTTCCTAATTAGTAAATAATTATCAAAAATGCCACAACATAACCTCAAGTAATTTTTTTACATAAATTTTATTAAAATTCGAGCTGTTAAATTTTTTAAAAAAATCATAAATAATAATTTTAGTAAATAATTTGTTAGTAAATACNAATTTCCTAATTAGTAAATAATTATCAAAAATGCCACAACATAACCTCAAGTAATTTTTTTACATAAATTTTATTAAAATTCGAGCTGTTAAATTTTTTTAAAAAATCATAAATAATAATTTTAGTAAATAATTTGTTAGTAAATACTAATTTTTTATTTACTAACAAATTATTTACTAAAATTGTTATTTATTATTTTTTTTAAAATTTTAAAAGTTCAAATTTTAATAAAATTTTATGTAAAAAAATTACTTGAGGTTATGTAGGGGCATTTTTGGTATATGAATTTATTTTGTTAGAAATAATAGTTTAATGGTAGGGGTGTTAGTGATGTTTAAATTAAACTAGAAGGGGTGTTATTGAAGATTTAGAAATTAAAGGGGTGTCGTTGAAAATATAATAAACTAGAGGGGGTGTTATTGAAATTTTTCCAAAGAGAAATGTTGGGGCTACCGTACGATTGACGTTCGAGAAGGCCGTGGCCTCAGGCAAAGACCCGGCCAACTTCAACGGCAAAGATTGGGGAGTCACCGATCTTTTTCGCGAGTTCGTGTTCGACAATGGCGGTCTCTCTCAGGTCCCGTCTCTCTTTCTCTCCTTGTCACACTCAATGCCTCAATCAGTTATATGTTTAAGCTGATCGATTTGCTTCTGTATATATCGAGATTCTGAAAGGCCCTAGGGTTTTATTCGACATTGGCAATCTATATATTGTCTTTTAATTTCTATCTGATCCATCTGTAATGTATTACTTATTCATTTTGATTGCCTTAGTATAAGGCCAGCCGAAAAAAAAGGAAGATTGCGTTGCTATCTAGAGAAACTAAATGTCGGATTTTACATGGTGCTAATTTGTTGATTTTTGCTCACAGAATCGGAAGTGATGTATAAAATATTCTTTTCGTAGCTAAACGTATTTATTTGTGTTCCTTAGGATGCTGTGATTTGTTTGATTTTTCTAATTGGTTGTTCTTGGGTTTTTATGATGGATTAGGTCCCATTGCTTAATCCTACAACAATTGAATGGGTTAAACCCAACACTTTGGTTCGATACCAGGGAATGATACAAGACATGCTGGGTAATGAATTCTATGCTGGTGTTTACAAGGTAGTTTTGTTCTCTTATTTATTGATGGACAAAGAACAGCCTCTCTGCACTCATTTTTTTGGTGCCATTCTGAATTATGTGTTTTTTATTTTATTTTAAAGGATGGAGCAACATGGAGAACCAACAAGTTTGCAGATGCTTCCCAATTTCCTATGGGCTCTTCATCCGATATGCGAGTTTGGGAGCGTCGTCTGCTTTACTGTGTTCCTGTGAGTTCTAATGTTGTTTTTCATTTTGTTTATGTCGCCTCTTGTACTCAGCATGTAGGCATGGGCTCATACTAAGGTGATCTTCATTGATTTCAGTACTGATGTTTGTTAGTTGTTAGCATGTTAAGAAGTGGTCTATCAATTTTTTGATTTTTCCTTTTATCAGAGAATTTTTTGTATTTTCATTTTGATGTTCCAAATCTTTTTTTTTTATAGATTTTTTTCTTTGTTAGTTCAATGTTTGATTGTCCCGTCTAATCTCTTTATTTATTTTGATTCTGATTGTATCTACTACTTGATGAATGAATTTTTTTAGGAACTTCAATGTGTTTTCCAAATCAGTTGATTTATTCTATATAGAACATATTTTGTTATTTCATTATCATTAATGAGTAGAGCTTCTTCACCGTTCATGCTGCCAACTTTGTTGGCATTTTATCAATTGGTCTGTTGACCTTCTTTCTTTCTAGGTTCCGGGCCAAAATTCATGGACAGAAACTTTTTCTGAAGCACTGATAAATTCGTGTTCCACTACTACATCTCCACATGGGGAGAAGCGCCAGAGAGAGTGCCTCACAGCTATTTGTGATGGAAATATGCAGGTAATTTCCATCTCTGCAGTTCTTTAAACTTGCCTAATCCTTTTCTCTTTCATTCAACTATTGAAGAATGCTGCATTCAGATATATTAAATGAGAAGCCCCAATACTCCTTGTTTTGTGAACTTGGCATCAGGGGCGGGGGTTAGAAACTTACTCCAGTTGGGGCAAATTCTACAATAATAATACTAATTGTTGTTAATTTAGGGACCTAATTTAGAGGCCTAAAGCGTTATTACTGCTAGATTAGNCGTTTAGATATATTAAATGAGAAGCCCCAATACTCCTTGTTTTGTGAACTTGGCATCAGGGGCGGGGGTTAGAAACTTACTCCAGTGGGGGCAAATTCTACAATAATAATACTAATTGTTGTTAATTTAGGGACCTAATTTAGAGGCCTAAAGCGTTATTACTGCTAGATTAGCAAGTAGATTACATTTAATGTTGAGAACCACTTGTAAATCAATGATTGCAAAACATTAGATGTTCAAATTAAATCCCTAATTGGATCCCAATAACATTGCTCTTTTAACAATTTTAAGACTATAAAGTCTGAGAATTGTCAGATGTACACAACCTTATGTGCGAGGATATTTTCGCAACTTGAATTCTTGATATTCAGTGTGACTTTACCTTTACAATTGTTCATGACTACATTTTACAATTTATAAAAATATTACATGATGATCTGAATATTCAAAATATTCAAATTAACAACAGTGAGAGGGATTAGGCAAGAGATAGGGAGAGAGAGTAAAGAACTTAGAATGTTTTTTTGAATAATTGTTGAGATTTAGCTAACTAAGCATTATTTAAGTTTATTTAATTAAGAGTTAAGAAATTTAATTCAAATGGAAGAGAAGATTAAGTAGAATAAATTGTATGAGTTTTTTTTTTTTTTTTGGTGGGTCAAATTTAGAATATATTAAACCTTACTAAATAAAATTTATTGCAAAAGAAAATTGAGTGGGGGCACTTGCTCTCACAAGATGTGTAGTTCAGCCCCTGCTTTGCGTCCATGCAGACAAGCAGGACNGGTGGGTCAAATTTAAAATATATTAAACCTTACTAAATAAAATTTATTGCAAAAGAAAATTGAGTGGGGGCACTTGCTCTCACAAGATGTGTAGTTCAGCCCCTGCTTTGCGTCCATGCAGACAAGCAGGACCATCCTATCTCCCAGTTTGGAAGATCTTATAGGCTTCAATAGTGATCCAGATTGCTTATATGCAACTGCACTTGTGTCTTTCTTGAGAGGTTTCTAAATTATTTAGCCTGATATTAAAACTTCAATGTCAAATGCGTTAGAATAGTTGGTAATCTGTGCAAACGAGTTTGAAGGTTCCTCATGTGCAAAAAAGATGGTAAGCAGAAATAGCTTCATGAAATATGTTCTATTTCTCTCTCTTTTTTAATATTGCATTTTCCCCATGCATGATCACTCTTATTTATTTATTTATTTTTTTTGGGGGAGGGGGAGAGCTGACTAGATTAAACTAATTACTTTAATACTCTATGTTTGAGGATTCTATTTCGAATTAAAAAGTAAGACATGATAGTTCATTTTTGTAAGTGAACGTATCATATCCTTATTGTCTATAGCATATCGTCATGGGAGGAGATGTTTCATCATTTACCCTATTTAAATTTTTTTGGGCTGAAAGGTTTAGTAGTGTTCACCATCTGGTTGATTTGCCATGCTAATGTTTAACTTCAATGAGAACTCCTAAAATCTCTTAGGCTGTGAATTTGAAGTGGGTGGGAAGGCATGAATTTATTAGTTCCTCATGTTAATTATGAAAGCATGCTTTGCAACTCTAAGTTGCAGTATCTAATCTCAAATGAAGTTGAACTTTTCCATACGCTTTCTAGTAAAAACTATATACAAATGAACCATATTTTAAAGGGAATAGATGCCTACTTCTGAAGGGTCAAATAGGATTTTATTCAAAAGAGTTTCACTTTTTTAGAAAACCTTCTCTCAATCTTCATTTTTCTTGCTGTTTTTATCTATTGCATGATACATTTTTGACAAGATTGATGAACTTTTACAATCCCTCTCTCTTTGTGCTTCTTGGAAGGCTATGAAGTACAAACATTCTCGAGAAGGTGACGTATCCGTGTCGGACACTGACACTCTTCGAACACTCTCAAACTCGTGTCTGATACTTTTTTATCCATATCTATAATTAAAAGATAAANTTCTCTCTTTGTGCTTCTTGGAAGGCTATGAAGTACAAACATTCTCGAGAAGGTGACGTATCCGTGTCGGACACGTATCGGACACTGACACTCTCAAACTCGTGTCTGATACTTTTTTATCCATATCTATAATTAAAAGATAAATTTTTAATTTTGGACACGTGTCCGACACTTCTTTGGTGACGTGTCCGACACTTCTTTAGAACGTGTCTACTACTAAATAATAGACATATAAAAGTTTTAAAAAAGAGGAATTGAGAAAATGAAAACAATTATTTAAATTATATATTAGGTATACATTGTCAATAAAAAAAAAAATTGATGATTGTTGATTATAATGAGGATACTTTAATCTAAAAATTCACACAGATGACTAGACATTAGGTTTACTTATCATAAAATACTGAATTTGTTATGAATTGTATATCATTATCATTATATTTGCAATAAATTATATAATATTATATATAAAATATAATTTTTTTGTAACTTGTTTCCAACGTGTCTGTGTCCTACTTTTTTTAAAAATGTCGTGTCAGCGTCTCCGTATCGTGTCGTATCCGTGCCCATGCATTTTAGTTGGAAGGTAACTTCTGGTATTTCCAGTTTTGCATACATGTCATATGCAAATTTGACTTTTTTTTCTTCTTCCTCTTTTGTCTTTCTAAGTGAGAGGATGGAATGACTTCTCAGTCTTCTATGAGTGAGGGATCTTGTTCTAGTACGTGTTTGGTGCCTGATTTTGAGAGAAGGACTTTTCCTTGTCTCGTGAAGGTGAGTTTGATCCCTTTTTTAAAAAAAATTATTTATTTCTAGGTAGCAATTAGTAATATCACTGTAGATTATGCTCTACTAAGATNCGGTGAGTTTGATCCCTTTTTTTTAAAAATTTATTTATTTCTAGGTAGCAATTAGTAATATCACTGTAGATTATGCTCTACTAAGATTAGTCCTCCTTCCTCATAGTATTTTGATTGTGCAGGTTTATGACTCTGTAGAGTCTGACTTGAAACTGAATGATGTTTTTGAGTTTGTTGGTGTCCTCACTTTTGATCCCGAGGTTACAGTAGACAAAGATGATTCTGAGGAGTTAATGCAGGGTTTATGTGAAGATACATTGGTTCATCTGCCTCCTAGCAAGGTCTTGATCCATATTTCTGTTATTGTAGTATGTTATTTTTCCTATTTGTTGAGCATAATTAGTTTTTGTATGTTGTCTGTATTCAGTAGAACTCCCAAGGTAAGCTCATTTAGGCTTGTTAAACTGTGACCATCATATATATTTTTACATGTATAATGAAGAGCATAATTTGTGCATAGACTATTATTTCTGGGTAGTTCACTCTGATTTTAAGAATTTAACGTTGGCTTTTTCAATTTTGTATATGTTGCCTGTACCCACCAACCTTGTAATGGCCAGCATCTCATTATGCATCAATGTAACTAACTCATAACCATATATCACACCATTTCAAGGACTAATCCAGTTACACCACATTAGTTTCACTTTTCACTTTGTCTGTCAGCTATTGTACGCATTAACATCTTTGCTTTTGCCCCTCTTGTAACAACATGATGTCTTGTAGCCTAATGCTGGAATTATTAGGTGGAACTGAATGCAGTTTTCAAATCTTAATTCAAAATAAACTGAGCTGGAACCCCAAGTTGTAGGATTTCAGAATCCAAAAACTCGCTCCCTGCTTCCTACCCCCTTCTTTAAACATCTTGACTCAATGAAGCTCCAAGTCCAGGCAACTCAAAGATTGGCTGTATAACTTGGTCATCATTTTAGGTCTCACCATTTCATGTTTTCATTTGTTCTCGAGAAGTTTGTGGTTAAGCTGAAGTATAGTGGACTTGTCACTCCTAAGTTATCTTTTATTGTTTTCAGGAGTAAGCATTCTAATTGTAGAAAATTGGTCGAGAAGGATGTTTCTGAAAGAAGGATTCATGCCCAAGAGTCAAATTCTATCGGCCTTGATCATATATATAGATCTCATGGTTGAATTCATACGCATCTATTGAATTTTATTTCTTAATTGTTGGTCATATACATCTTGAACTTGTGTCTTGTCAGTGTTAAGTCTCTTTGAGATTATTGTCTTTCTATAGCAAAGACATTTTTCATGCTAATAACAAAAGGGATTCTAACATGTTCTTTTGCAGGTACCTTGGCTTCATTGTCTTGTGCACCGGAAGCTTGCGGTTCATGACTTTCTTTCTAGTTCCCCCACATTAGAGGTAAGCGGAACATACGGAACATATCTCTACATGGCTGATAACTAATCTGCCTAATGTTACTTGTGGTCTTTTTCTTTGTATAGCTATTGCCTTACTTCTGCCAGTTGCCACTTGTTCAAATAAGATTTTATTTTGTTCTATTGGGCCATCTCACAACTGTCCTTGGAAATGATGGCTGGCAGCTGAATTCTTGTTATTGCATCTCTTGTCCAAGGTATACTGATACATCTCAGAATCATGGTTCTCAATTTAATATTATATGTGTGATAATATCTGTAGTATCATATTTAAATCTTGATATCTCAGCAAGCAATTTCTTCTGTTAGAGCACTTCAATTTCAAACTTTCTAATGCGCTCAAATTTTTCTGTCCTTTGCATATTTCCTGTGCACTTCTGGACATAAATGACAAGTCCTATTGTTGTAGGTGCATGCTAGGGTAGACACGCTTNTGCAATTTCTTCTGTTGGAGCACTTCAATTTCAAACTTTCTAATGCACTCAATCTGGACATAAATGACAAGTCCTATTGTTGTAGGTGCATGCTAGGGTAGACACGCTTGCTGTGGGGAAGTTTTCATTGAATCTTACTTGTTTCAGCAAGGAAACTATGTCTGTTTTTGGCAATTGTCTTAAGGTTGCAGTCAAGAACCTTGTGCCCTTCACACATAGCATACCTCTCACAGTGGATTTTCTTAACAATGGTACACTTGCCCCGAGAAAGGATAATCAGGCAAACAGGTATTCTAGTTCTGACAAGAAGGAAAAAGTGTTTTCGTACATAGTAATATTATAACCTATGAAATAACAGTCACTGTAACGTGTCCTCACACCTCTATATGCTATTGCTCTAGACTGCTGTCTGGAGTTCTGCAGTTAGCTCAGGGCTCACATTTGACAATTGATGAGACACACTTACAAGCAGGGACCCTCAATTCTACAGGGATTGATAATATAAGAAATCTAAAGAACCTAATGGATTTGCAAAAGGTAATTTCGAATTGTCTTCTGCTTGTGTAGCTTAACCTGGCATTAAACAGTTTGAGAATTGTAAATTTTACACATTGTAGTAAAAAATTCTGTATTTTCTTTCTTGTAATTTTAATGGTATATTCCAAATTTTGTGTGGTATATTTGATGTTTTTTGTTTGTTTTCTCAGGTGGAGTATGACTTCACATATTATAAAATGGAGATGGCAGCAGATGTTCAATTACTGGTTCTCTCTGAGGGGAAATCAAATATCCTGCCAGCTGATGTAGTTCTGCCTTTCCATCCATCGTCAGCGGGTTCATCAGAAGTTTCGGATGCAGAAGCACTAAAAGCTTGGAGATGGTACCTGGCTACTCTTAGATCATTGCCACATTCGATTGGGCAAGAAATGCAGAAGGTATGAGTTGAGCAACTTCTACTGCTAGTGCACATTTTCTTTTAGCAATGAGATGCAGTTTTGCATATGCAAGGGAGAGGACACCTTAAATTTTCTTGTAACTAGAAATGAGGTTTCTGGCTTTGTCATACACTTGATGACAGAAAAAAGGCTTTGTCATACATACACTTGAGATGTTGACGAACTTTAAGAATTGGACACAAGAATATGGGTGATCATGCTGTGGGACCTGACCTTTGCTGTGGCCGTCATGTCTCAACATTCAGTTTGCATAAATCCTTATAAGTTCATATGCGTTTGATTGTGATTCACAAAGTTGTGTTACCGCTGCATTCATGGCTTAAGTTTGAGGGTGAAGAGGAGTTTGTGATATATCTTTCCCCACCTTTTTGTCTTTTTTAATGTGAAGCTGCATGGCGGTTGTTTCTCACATAATTTTGACTATAACATTGGGTTATATGTTGCAGGTGGTAGAAGATGACTTGGTCGCAGCTAGGCAAGCTGATCGAAGTCTAGGCAGTAAAGAATTTAGCAGGTTAGTTTTAGACAAATGTTTTAGCAGGTCGGTCATATGGTTTTCCATTTCATTTGCAATTTTGTTGAGACTTGGATAATATTGTCGTGCAGATGGCTGACAATGGCTCGTTTAATGTCCGCAAGTTTTGGTGAAACATGCCTGTCATTGGAAAAATGGCGAATGGTTAAGGAACTGCAGAGATTAAGAAGGGAGAGACTCCAGGAAAGTAGGTAAAGAATTTGTCGCGGAAGGAAAAGGGATCACAATGATGTAAATTTCCTGTATCTTTGGATCTACATTATTTATCAGTTTTGAATGTGGTGGGAATAGCCTTTACCAAGTAATGCTGCTTTCGTAACGATCTGTTCTAAATGCAAGTCTTCGAATCCCTATAGCATCTGATTCATAATGGGTATTTGACTGCGCTTGATGGCCTAAATGTTTCAATTTGATGTGTCCAAACACCTTCATATTTCATTATTAGTCGAACCATTTTGCTCCCTCAACCTCATAATCTATAATTATCTAAACTTCAAGGGCCTTGCTACTTTCATACCTAAAAGTCTGACTATTTGATTCATTGACCCCTTTATTGAGGGCACCATTACTCTTACTACTTGCCCCTGAACCTCAAGAATTCCAAGTTTTCTAAAAAACAATCCCTCACCCCATTCCCAGAGGTGCAAGACAATGTAAATACCAATACCGGCGATCAAACCGTAGGCTACAGAATAACTCAACGGCATCAAAATCAACTTCGAGAACGCCGGAATCGCCTGCCTCATATCCTTCCACTCAATCTCAACCACCGATCTCATCATTAAAATCCCCACCAGTATTAACGGCGGTCCCACCGCCAGTAGAAAGTACCCCACCATCGTTAACGCTCTCAACCTCGTCCGCCCACCCTCTTATCCCCATGAAAAGCCGTCACCGGTGAAGTAACCAACAATGATCTGACAACGATAGCTGAAAAGCGTCGGAGATGAATGCGAAGTATTGTTCTACGAAGTCGCCGTTGATGTCTGTAAATCCGGCGAAACGAGCCATGGAATACATAGTTCCGGTGGTGTCCAAGATGTCGACGTAGAGAAAAGTGAATAAGGCTTCCCAGAAATACCCTTTTCCGATGCTTTTGAAGGTCAAAGCCCCGGCGGTGCTTTCGATCTTGTGAACGTCGACGACTTTCTTGAAGTATTGGCAAGAGGAGTTGCGGCCGGCGTTTTCGGAAACGCTGCGATGCGAAAACACGAGACGGCGGTTACGAAGACAATCCCATAAATCATAGCGCCATTGATATTTTTCACTAAGCAATACGCGATGATAATAAAGCCGATGACTCCGAGCCAGAATGTGGAACTTTCCATGCGACCATTCAGGCACATGATGTCGCCGGAAACAGTGCCGCCGGGAATGAGAGCAACGGTGCCGTTGGCGAATGTTTGAACCGGAGCCTCCGTTCTGTAAACGGATGAAGGCTAAGAAGAGACCAATACCGGCGGAGGAGGAGATTCTGACGGGTTTGGGGATAAGTTTTGCGAGTTTTGCACGTAAACCGATGGCGGAGACGAGAAGGAAGATGAGACCTTCAATGAAAACCGCAGCTAAAGCGCTCTGGAGAGAGAGAGAGAGAGAGGATTGATTAGGGACGTAGTAGTAGTGATTGGGTTTCGGTGTGGCTCATTTTGCAGTTGCTGTCCTGTTGATGCCAACCGGCTAGTATCTTCTCCAGATCTTTGAAAACCTCTTCTTCCTCAAAAACACCTTAACAACCAATCACACATTTTCGTAAGAATACTTTTAAACGACAATCCGTTTTCATCATAAATGGAAAGAGGTGAGACGCATATGGGTTGTGATACACCTTTTTCCACATTTTGTGTTCCTAATTTGAAGCTGCATGGCAATTCTTTCTGACATCATTTTCACTATAACATTTGGTGACAGGTTGTAGAAGATGACTTGGTCGCAGCATCTAGGCAAGCTGATCGAAGTCTAGGCAGCAAAGAATTTAGCAGGTTAGTTTTAGACACAAATGTTTTAGCAGTTCTGTCATATGTCTTTTCCATTTCATCTTCACAATTTTGTTGAGACTAGACAATGGCCATCTCAAAGGTTGAAAACAAAATTTAAAATCGACACCAAGGTTCGACACTTCTTGATACAAACCGGTATATAACACAATCCACTAATATAAATATAATAAATGAATTTTATTAGTGTTAAATACGAATAACACGAAATTTGATATAATTAACACATTTAAATAGTAGTATAAAAATAAAATATTAATTTTTTATTATATTTTATTAAGTAATGATCTAGTTCTTATACAACAAAAAAGATATTTTTACTCATTTTTATTATTATATTTTTTAAGTTAATTTTTAAATTATAAGAAAAGTATGAACATAGGTTCGAGTAAGTCAAGGGCTAGGGGGGCACGTGATTCCCTTAAAAGAAAAAACAAATTTTTTTTAGTTAAATATATATATTATATATTTGTATAGTATATTATTTGTGCCCACCTAAAATCTAAGATAAAAATATTTGGCCTACATTATTTATGTAAAATAATTAAAAAAATTAAATCCATTTAAAACAAAAAAATTTGAGTCCACTATTATCTACTCAAATTTATTAAAAAATCAAATATTTGACCAATCACAATTCACCCAAATTTATTAAAAAAAATAAAAATTTTAACCCAACATTAAAAATAAAATTTTTGGTCAAACATTAAAAATATAACTTTTGGCCCACCCACCATTTAAAAACGAAACTTTTAGCCCACTTGACCTAAACATATCTTTTATTTTTTTCTCTTAGTCTCACTCACTCCCATTCTCAGCCATAAGAAAAAGAGAATAAACAAAGAGAAGCTCTGCTTAACAGCCAACACACAAGAAGGAAGCTCAGCTCTTTGAGTTTTTCGTCCTTCCTTGAGCTCAATTCTCTAATTTATATTTTGTGCATTTTGCCCTTATTTAAATTTTTATGCATTTTTCACTAATTTGTTTTTTTTGTACATTTTGCCCTAGTTATTTTTTTGATTTGTTATAGCTCAAACCTTAAGTTGTGGTTATTGAGTCGACCTATTTTTTTGGTAACTCTCAATCCGAATCTATTTTTAATACTTTGAATGATATTGCTTGAATTTATTAAAATTATGAATTAGATACTTTTATGCATTTGTACTTGTATTTGCTTCCTAATACAATATATTCGTTAGAATGATAGTAATAAAAATAAAATTGACAAAATAGTTTGTTTAATTAATTGCAAAAGTTGATGTATAAACCTATTTTCTTGAATAATTTTTTGAAACAGTAATAGAGAAGTACTTCAAGAGAAAGTTTGAGTCAGAGTTATCATTTTCTCCAAATAGAGGTGGTTATTTTTTAAAGAAAAGTCATGTAGATATTAATTTGGCGGATCTTCTATCAGATCTCGGACTACGACCTCGAATTATGGATATTTATGATTTTTTATTAGGTAGTTGGAATTAGACCTACTCTCATGACCAAAAACCAAATATATTTGACCATTCTAATAAATTTGGACCAATTAAATCTTATGCAAAAAAATAATTGGGCACATTTTTCATTTAAAGAAATGTAAAAATATGTTAAAAAGTTGCGACTAGTGATTGAATCTATTTTTTTCGATAACTTTTAATCTTATACTATTCATAATTGTTTGAAATTATTATAGTTTTTTAAAATCGATACAACTTAGTCAGAAATTGATTACTATTAACTTAATTACTTATATAGAGAAAGACATTTTTGACAACATTATTAATAATATTATCATACAATAACGTTATCATACAATCTTTTTAAAGTATGAAAAGTTGTCGGGGGCCATAGTACATGGTTGTAATTAGCCTTATTTTTCGAAAAGGGTTATAATTAGCCTTTTTTTTATTGAATATTATTTTTATAGACTATATATATTGGCGTTTGATCTTTTTATATTTAATGAATATTTAAATATGCAACACGATTTAAAAAAAAAAAGATATGTATGACAATACTTTTATTGATTGGAGAAAAAAAATTAAATTTTATTGGTTAAGTGTGCCCACCCTAAGACAAAATTTCTCGCTCCGCCCTTGGAGTAAGTAATAATAAAATTTTAGACATAAAATTGAGCGTCAAATTTGTTATTATGAATTATATGGATCAACACGAACATGACACGATTAGTTAAATTGGTTGAATTAGAATTGATTATTATTCAACAAAATCTCAAAATGTAAGCATTTGATGAAGAGATCAAACAGGTTTTGCCTACGGCTTCCATTTTCTGTCTCTTACCTATTGTTTTACAGCCATAAAAAAATATATAAATATGTAATTGGGATGAGAAACAGCAACACTCTCCCCACTCCCCCCAAAAAAAAAAAAATAAATAAAGAGCAGGGCCGGCCCAATTATTGGGCCAATGAAGTCTGAATTTAGGGAAGACCCAATTAATTTATATATTTATAGTAATAGCTTAAGTTAAAAAATCTGAATTTATAAGAAATAGGTTTCTTAACAAATTTAGATTTAAGCTCAAATAAAAGATTTCAACTTTAGGAGATTGGGCTTATTAATTCAGCCCATGAAATTAAAAGGCCCTAAAATTCAATTTTTTGAATAAAAAAAAAGTTAACTATAAAATTAAAGCTATTTTAAAATCAAGTCTTAATCCCCTAAAAAAAAAGTCAAGTTTAAACTTATAATCATAATTTTTCAATTACTCTCTCTCTCAAGTTCAAATATGGTAACAAAAGCTTGAATATAAAAACTTAATTAATATCTTTGTATTTTAAAAAATTAAAATTAAATTTATTATTACTATTAAAAACAAAAAAGTCTCATTTCTTATTTCCGCTTTAGGCCTTAAAATGTTTCGGACTTCCCCTGAAAGAGGCTTAGAATCTGTCAACTTCAATTTATCAGTTTAGGTGAATTTTAATCAACCATCATTAAATTTGCTAGATTCTATAAATTTTTGCAAGCATCAAATAAACTTCCAATCCCATAATTTTGGTTTGAATTGTTTTGCTACCCTTATCAATCTCTAATCCCTGAAAAGCACTTAAAAGTATGCATTCGAAGCCCAAAAAGTTACAACTTGTTGTCAAACCACACATCTTTTCAACAAAAACTTCAGATACACTTAATCACCTACTAATTATATGTATCAATCAAACTAAATTTTATGCCCCGATTCTTGAGAAGTCCTTAAATCAACCCATGTAGATTAACCACGATACAACTTTGAAAACAATCAAACAAACTTTTTTTTTTTTTTTTGGCCCTCCTACATGTCCATGCAAGAACAGGAGACATGTCAAATGCACAAGTCGAATAATTGTTAGATGAAGTTGATAGCAGACAAGTTGTTAGATGAAGTTTAGCTTCTTGTCTAAAAAGCACCCAACAATGAACTTTGTTTAAGATGACACATTATGCACAATGTCACGTAATTAACCATGCCAAATCAACAACTGGCAAAGGCCAGTCATCAAGAATTCATTCTCTCACCAACTTCCTTATCCTTTGGAATAATCAATCATGTTTGGAAGTACAAAAGTGCGGACAAATTTGAGTCTAGGAAAGCTTATCAAACATGCATTTGAAATAAGTTTATCCAATTCCATTGTGTTTTTTTTTTTAGTTTAATGCTCAAGTATTCGGGTCTGTGTACATGCATCTCGATTAATTCTCTTCCTGGTTTAATAAAAAGCAAGTACACTAGGATTAGGATATTAATAAAGGATAGATTTTTTATAATCTGGGTCTAAGGAGTTGGTAAGATTTGAATTCAAGACGTCTGTGTTTATAACTAGTCTCTATTATCCCTTGAGAAAATATTCATTTTAACAGTGCACCATGTCATCACCACCACATGGTGTCGCCATCCAATTAGAAAACAACAAATAAGTAAAGTGGATCCTACTAATCCTATGTGTTGTTAATTGGATGTGGTAGTTACTGATAGTTATAAAAATAGTGGGGGTTCACTTTACTTATTTTTAGTCTTTTAATTGGATAGTAACACGACGTTACAATGATGACACGGGGCAACCATTGTATTGAATATTTACTCATTATCCATTGGGGTTAAATCACATTACCAAGTAGAGAGGAAATATACATACAGGCCCATCCTTGGGCTGGGCTGGTGTATATCCCGATATCTGTTCCAAAAATGTCACATAACCCAATCTGGCCCGAAAGGCCCGACCCTTCCTAGTCCGAGTAGTTATAGTGGGGGTTGGCCCAAAACCCATGCAAGAAGCCCGCCTAATAAATCAGGCAATTTTTACTTACGATTTTAAGATCGAATCAGCAAGCTATATATAAGTTGAAAATAATATCTAATAAATAAAAATTTATAAGTTAGATAAGGCGTAAGTTGTAATTTGCAAACTTCTAAATTATAAATTTTTAACTTTTCCGATACATTTTTACATTTTCTTAATTAAAAAAGAAAAATCTCGAGCTGTCCCCACAAGGGCCTGCCCCACCTAATGAGCCCATCAACAATAATATTCATGGGCCATTCCCTTACCCAGTACTCGGGCCCCAGGAAATTATTGCTAGTCTTCAGTAACGTAGAATTGTGAAGGGATATACCAAATTATCTTTATTGACCTTAAATTACATAACTCTTAATGTTAAGTCCTTTTGTTCTCATCTTCCTACCTTTATTGTGTCCAGGTACACTTTTTGATTTTTTCTAATTTTTCTTTGGCATATTTTTTCTCCTCTTAAATCACGCACATTAGATTTTGGCAATTATTTTGTTTTTTGAATTTATTTAAATAATTTTCTAAATTAATGGATGAATTATATTCTCAGTATCTTTACCATCAAACTTATCTTCTTTCTTTTTCTCTAACCATAAGTTATTATCGCTTTTTCTTCTTTTCCAACCAGATTTCATTTTTTTANTCTCCTCTTAAATCATGCACATTAGATTTTGGCAATTATTTTGTTTTTTGAATTTATTTAAATATTTTCTAAATTAATGGATGAATTATATTCTCAGTATCTTTACCATCAAACTTATCTTCTTTCTTTTTCTCTAACCATAAGTTATTATCGCTTTTTCTTCTTTTCCAACCAGATTTCATTTTTTTAGCCTTTTAGGCAATAAATTTTTTGGTTTACCAAAAAAAAAAAAAAGAAAAAAAAACACAAATGATTCTTATTGGAATAGTTTGCAGACTTTTTTTTTTCCAACGGTCAGAGTGCCTTGGTCACCTTATGTATTCTTCGACTAATCTTTTCCTCAGTCCGACTAAAATCAGACTATTCATACCAAAACTAAAATATTCCTCTTAACCTGACTCAAACAAATTGTTAAAATTTAAATTCAAAACGTTTGATCTATTTGAATCCTCCTTAGTTAATGGTTGAACATAGTTAATGTTCCGTGTATCATTCATCGGTTTGGTTGTTCACAATCAATACTGTTGAGAACTCCACATTCCACGAGTTAGGCATGGGCCCTAATACTACGCAAGCCAACTTGACCCACGTGACCATTTGATTAGATTCAAATATACACGCGAACCAACAACACGAGTGGCACGTGAGAAGGTTTTTCTCTCCCCCCCCCCCCCAAAAAAAAAAAAAAAAAAAAAAAAAG